AGGAAGATGAATGCCATGTTGTCCCAGCTGACTGCCTAGTAGAGAGAGAAACCCCAAGTGAGACCAGGCAGGTTACCTTCACAGCCACAACTCTCCCTCTCCTGCCTGAGTGATAGCTAGAAAGGATGTGATTCAGTTTGTGCCACAACATCCCACTTGCAGCACAGGTAATGGAGAAGGCGAGTGCGCATCCCAGCTCACCATCCCTGAGGACTGCTTCACAGGCAGCCACTGGGACAACCAGTCCACTAGCCACAGGCTGTCCCATAAGATGGAGTCAGGCATTATTGCACAGCCAGCATCAGACAGTGAGAATATGCTGCTATGCTTGCCATGTGTCATTGCATCTGGGCAGTTGGTCAGAGCCTGTAGTCTCAGGAGTAAGGTAACACTTAGGTGACCCAGAGCAAGGCAGACCAGTTAGGAGTCCTGAATCTACACTAACAGAGCCGTGCAATATAATGTGGCCTCTGGCCTACCCCCTGGGTCTGCAGTTCATGTCCTTTTGCTAGCTCAGGTCTGCCCTCCCACTACCTACTGCCATTCTATGACAAAATGCAGAAGCTGGCAAGGTGTTTGAGGTAAGAAAGACCTCCAGTGCCAGTGTCTGGCTACTGGTCTGCCAGTGCAGCTAGGGGAGGACAGGGGAAGATAAAAGTTGAGAATCCCTGAGCCCAGGGTCCTCCACCTCCTTAGCTGGTCTGGTGGCAGATAGCTCTTACCTTGGCAGCTATCCCAGCTTCATAGAAAGCCTTGTCTGCAGGGAGGAGCTCAGTATGGCGCAGCAGGGAAATGGACAGCTTGGCAGCCACAGTGTCCTGCAGACACAGGGGATGGTAAAGCCACAACAATTGGCACAGAAAAATCAGGTCAGAAGGGATCTCATGAGGTAATACTGCCCCAGCCTTACGGCAGGGACTCTGCACCCACATATTCCTGACTTTTGTCTAACAAACAATGGTTAAAACCTTCAGTCCTGACCCTAAGTACCCTCGCTATGTGAACACACAGGAGAACTGTCACCTGAAGATGAAGTTCTGCTTTATAAACCTTGCTATTTTTTTACTAGAAGCCACACCCAAACCCCA